ATAGATAGATAGATAGATAGATAGATAGATAGATAGATAGATAGATAGATAGATAGATAGATATTGGTGTCTGGGTGTTGTGTGGTCGGTCGAGGGAGAAACCCACAGTAGAAAGTGGAGGCCGGAGACAATTCACGCTCTCTTCCCCTTTCCCACCTCCTCTTCAGGTTGCCACCCTAATTTCATTCTCCCCTTGAGTCAGGGCTTCCTCCGCTCTTTACTCTCGGGCGCTGGGTCCATTTCTTCTCATTCATTCATTCATTCATTCATTCATTCATTCATTCATTCATTCATTCTCGATGTGAAACGCAACAAAACAAAACAATTGAAGCAATCCAACTACTATTAAAACCTCGCTCCTTCTCTTAATATTAGGAGGGCCACCATCCTCCTCTTCCTCCTTTCTTTGGTTTTATTAAAACCGTGAGCCCAGGACGCGGGTACTTAGGAGAACCGGCGCCCGCTTCTGGAGAAGCCGGGAGAGCCGGAGCCGGCTGCGCTAAAGTCGCAGGCCGTGTTTGCACCGCGACTGTTGAACTAAACCAGGCCTGGGGATCCCAAACCCGACCCGGCTTAAGGGAGGTGAACGTTCCCCTCCAGCCTGCATTCCAGCGCTCCCTCCCCAGTGACCTCCGCGAAAGGCGGACTGGACGGGAGTCCTTGTTCCCGGCTGGGCGCTTCAGCTGGAAGAGCCCAGTTGAAATCGCCCTGCCACCGTCCTTGCTTCCCTTCCAGGGAGTCGTTAGGGTCCAGCGCAGGACGCCGAAGGAGGGATCCTTTCCTCCCCAAGGCCGGTCGCGGTTGGAAGCTTGGTTACTCGGCTCCTGGAGGCCATGGAGAAGCCGCCCGGAGTAAAGGAGGAGAGCTTCTGCTCCGGCGCGGCTCCAAAGCCCTGGTCCCCACCCTCCCTTGTTGGAAGCCGCCTTTTCCTCCGTCTGCCCCCCCCCCCGCAACCCCGGAAGGGAAGGGAGAAATAGGAGTCCCGTCCGCCCCTTCCCTCAT